TTTGTCTTTTCGAGAAGATTCGTACTCGCTAAAATTGTTAAAGCGAGACGCAAACGTGAATCCCGACGTACATATCACTTGGACCGTCGAAGTGGTCGGAGTTTGCGAGTCCGTGGAATGGCATCCGGGCACTTCGCGACGCTATTTGCATAATTCGAGCGTAAACGAAAGAGAGAGAGAGAAGGAGAGTGGTCGCGCATTTGGTTTTAATGCTAGCCGAAACGAAGTTGGGCCAGCTGTGAAATACGCATTGCCGCATCTCCGCGAGATTCGCCTTTATGGCTTTCCGCGTTCATCGCGCTTTTCCCTGCTCCGTGATCTCTCCTCGCCTCGTTTCACGCTCCCGCGCCGTTCTCTTCGCTCGTACTCGCTCCTCGCCCCGCCACACTGCCGCGTGGCGAATTTTCAAAGCGCATTATCAACGCGCGGGAACCTCACCAATTGCAGGCTACGTTACCACCTCGAGATATTATCCTGGTAAGGTATGCGGGTCTAGCTGGAAAGGTCAGTTGCTCGTGCGGAGCTAACCGCGATGCGAGACGGCGCTCGCTTTTCGAGAAACGCCGCTTCGATTCAATTTTAGGCAAATCGCGGTGCCCGCCGTTCCTATGTACATCAAACCGTCGTTTATTTGCGATTTTTCGGGTTCTTGGATAGTTGGATTCTTGGATCCTTGGACCCTTGGACCCTTGGATTCTTGGACCCTTGGATTCTTGGATCCTTGGACCCAGTGTCCATAGATTAGTCGAGAAACAAAAGTATAACGAGGTTTGTCACTGGTTTGTTCTGATTTGAAAATGGATGTCATGTTGTTCCGAATTATACTTGAATCGTGGATTCTTGGATTCTAGGCTCCTTGGATTATTGGACCTAGTGTCCATAGGCTAGGCAAGATTGAAAAGTATCGCGAGGTTTATCACTGGTCTGTTCTGGGTTGAAAATTAATGTTATGTTGTCGCGAATAGAAATTGAATCGTGGATTCTTGGATTTTTGGATCCTTGGATTATTGGACCTAGTGTCCATAGGCTAGGCGAGATGGAAAAGTATCGCGGGGTTTATCACTGGTCTGTTCTGTGTTTAAAATGAATGTTATGTTGTCGCGAATAAAAGTTGAATCGTGGATTCTTGGATTATTGGATCTTTGGATCCTTGGATTCTTGGACCTAGTGTCCATAGGCTAGGCAAGATTAAAAAGTATTACGGGAATTGCCACTGGTCTGTTCTGATTTGAAAATGGATGTCATGTTGTTGTGAATTATACTTGAACCGTGGTTTCTTGGATTCGTGGATCCTTGGATACTTGGATTCTTGGACCTAGTGTCCATAGGTTATTCGAGGAAGAAAAGTATTGCGAGATATATCACTGGTCTAGTCTCATTTGAAAATGAATGTCATATTGTCGCGAATCATAGTTAAATTGTGGATTCCTGGATTCTTGGATCCTTGGATTATTGGACCTAGTGTCCATAGGTTAATCGAGGAAGAAAAGTATTGCGAAATATATCACTGGTCTAGTCTCATTTGAAAATGAATGTCATATTGTCGCGAATCATAGTTAAGTCGTGGATTTTTGGATTCTTGGACCTAGCGTTCATAGACGAGTGGAGGAAGACCAACAATCGCGTGGACCATCACTGATCACACCCTCCTTTACCGTCTCAAATCGCATAACACCGAATCATAGATCCCAAAATTCTAAAATTTCCCAATTTCAAATAAAGCAAAAGAACCACCACCTAATTACTACGAAAGCATCAAATTACTAATCGTCCTCTCCTACTCCTACTACTCTTCTGGACTCTTGGACTCGAATTCATACATGGACCGCGGAGAAAAAAGTATCACATGATCTGTGATTAATCTATTCCTCTTTACCGACAAACGTCGCGTTATCGCTAATCTTTCTTCATTCTCGGATTCTTGGACTCGAGTTCACGGACCAGTCGCGGAACACTATCTCGTGATCTGTCAATGAATCGTTCCTCTTTGTCGGCACACGCGTTAAGACACCGCGAATCGTCGTTGATCCACGGATTCTTGGATCCTTGGACCCGAGTCCACGCCGAAGCACACTTTGAGAAGAGATCGACAGCTGCGAGACGTCGATTGGTCCGAGTGATACTCTCGCGTTGGACCAGGATGCGAGAGCTGGATCCAGGCTAAAGGCTTTTGTCTTCGTTCGTGTCGATACGCTTTCGAGACAGAAGAAGGGGATAGATAAGACTAGCAGTTCCAGACTCGGTGAAAATCGCGTCGAACGAGTAGTCACGTATAATACACGCTTCGGAGGCGAGCAGCCACGAAATGCAAATTGCTCGAGCGATTTGCATGCCGGCCTGGCAATGAGTACTTCGGAGATAACGCGCTGTTTAACCAACCGATACGTTCCTGTTTCTTGGTTAAACGAATTCGGTCGAATCAGGTCCGATGGATCATCGGACGAGGAGGAACGGGAGGATGGAATTTTACCATTCGTGGGACGAAAAGGAAAGACAAGAGGAGGGAAACTCGTTGCTGCGATGCCAGAGTCAGGTCCGATTCCTTTCTCCGCATCTTCGTTTCCTTTTAGAGGAACTATCGCGAACCAGTCGAATAAAACCGGTGCAAACGCCTCGGCGATTAGTGAGAATACGTTGAAATAAAATGGTTCCCCGATTTTTCGGTTTTATTATTACTCGACGAGTCCAAGTTGCAAAATTATTCTCCATTTTCGTTAAAAAATCGGCATCCCTTTTGCTAAAAATTAGAATGGCTAACCCACGAGAAAGAGCAAATTGTAAATTGTCCTATTATTATTGCTAATTATTATTAATCCTACTCGGCGATCATTGTATCCATCCTATTATAAGTAATTAAAAATTTGACTATTTCTCGACAATATGGTATCCTCGTACACGACCCTGAACAATTTTTTGGATGCACATGGGTGCGCGCTAGCTCGACGATGCTGACCTCCGATGCATCTATATTTAGACCCCGATTACAGGTCAGTAGTTCTAGTATTAAGCCGTATTTTTCGGTCGAATTCTCGAAACAGGAGAGAATCAAAGTGGAAAAAAAGGTACGTTCGTTCGAATTCCTCGAAACACGCGCGTCGTTCAGGGACGTCTGAAAGATGGTTCATTGGGGGGGTTCCAAGGAACGCGACCACGTGGAGGAACGTAAGTAAACGAATTAATTCGCGCGAATTTCTGTGGTCCTCATCAAATTATCTATTCCCTTAACAAAAATACGTCTCGCAAAAAGGAAAATAGACGGATTTAACAAAAATATAACAGCGAGTCTGTAAGTCGATCTCGGCTGAAATATAAAAGCTCTGTCTCCTATTCAAATATTCTCCCGTTTTCGATCCACGCGAGAATAGATCACCGATAGAAACGCGATTAGACCAATTATACATAAAAATTAACCTTCTTTCTTGAATTCCAGGAAGAAAGTTGATAGCTGGCTCGATCAAGTCCGCGATTCGAGAGGATTCTCAGTGTCGTCCCGTTTGATAAATCGAGAACATTAATTAAAGGTATTAGAGGTAGCATTGTCGGGATGTACTTTTGAGAAACAGCGCGCATTATCTCGAAAGAACGGGTCCTTTTGTTCCGGCCGCCCGAGGGATCTCGATTTTCCCTTTGCTGGCAGCCAAAGAAGCTTCCCAACGCGAAAGTAATTTATACCGATTTAAGCTTTCGCGTGGTTACCAGGCTTGCTTCGAGTTAGCGTGGAAAAGGGAAAAAGTCTTCTCGTTTGCACCCAGACACCGTGATTCGCGGTTAACGTTCCTCCGCGATGGCCAACGGAAGTGCTCGCTGCATCGCGTTCACCCTCGTCATGACAACGTCAAACCCGTCCAAGATTCGTCTATTAAGCACCGCTTAATGACTTCACTGGCGCCAATATCCGATCCCCGTTTTCTTCCTCCACGAGTAATTTCGTCTCGCAACTCGTGGAAAAATTCAGCTGAATATCCAGCTAAATATCGAGCTAAATATCGAGGCAAGATCCAAGTAAGGATTCGAGGTAAAAGCAACTCGATGCTCAGCTTCCCATAAATTTCCGTTAATTCAAATACGATCGAGATCGATCGAAACTGGAATCGGGAATAAGACGAGTATCGAGCGAAGCTGGGAAGCGGGAAAGGCGAGCCGGTACGCGCGCGCGATGGTTCTCCATCATCGACGACGCGGAAAAATCAACGAACCTGATACCCGTCTGCAATTTCGCCGGCAATTAATTAATATTTGCATTCGCTCGGACGTTCGGTTGATGCGCGCTCGCCGAGTGGAAACGGATAGACGCGGTCAATATTTTCCTGCGGATCCAGGAACCTGCGCCTCCGCTTCCCGCGAGCACGGTCGTTCTAGCGGGGTACTTGTACGACCGTACCGCGAGATCCAGGGGAAGAAAACGAGCCGGGATATCGCTTCCGACTGCCCTGATTCGTGGATTACATCGAAAGCGGTTTGAAGCAGTTTGAGAGCGAGCGAGGATCGTCCTCGAGGTTAGAATGGTGAAAATTAGAGTTACGGGGGTGGTTCGAGAGGGGTCTACATCTCGAAGACGCCGAGACAAATGTGGTATATTCAGAGCGTCGTTGGAGGAACCTGCATCTTCTCCGAGCCAATGATCTCTCATATTTTACGGAACGTTTAAGCTTCGAGCGGAAAATTAGATGCGGGAGGTAAAAAGCGCGAGGATGTTACGCGCGTCCTCGTCCCGGATGGTTGGTCGAAGCGAATCACGAGTGAGACGCGTGGACCAACTGCGAGGTTATTAAGCCAACGTTAAAACTCTGCCGAATGTAATTAACGCGCGACGCGGAGTCGCGATTCGATTATCGACTGTGCTTGTTGTGTTCCGATTCGTTACCAGTTCTCTCGGAAAAATCAGCATCGAGAGACCCGATCGTTTGACCAAGCTACGCGTGTCTTCTGTTGTAAAAACGAGTAGCTAAGTAAGAGACCGAGGACTAAGTAAAAGTATAAGACGTAATTGATCGACTCACCACCCTCTTCTTTGGAGGAACCACTTGACGTTCCCTTTTGCAGGTCCGCGGAAGCGGGGAACACGAGTACCAATAGGAACAAAATCATCCAGGCGAACTGCTTCTGCCTGGTCCAGCGGATCGATCTCTCCAGCCTCGAGATCCACCGCACGACGCTGGAGACGTAGCTGCTGGAGGACGCGTCAGGCCTCAACCTGTCGCACTCCGTTATCCTGGAGGTAGCGACAGCGTGGTCCGCGTGAGGGACCAGAGGGCGTCGTTGCTCGCGTCTCGGGGCCCGATCGAAGCGTCCTTCCTCGGCCGTTCCGTCGAGCGTCGAGCAGTTGCGGCTTCTTCCGCGAAGGCGTTCGCAGAGGTCGCAAACGTTGCTTCTGTTTAGGCGACTCGACCAAGAGTGAGAACGCGTGGCGACGCAGCCTGACGAGCAATGGCAGTGACAGGACGCGGAGCTGGCGTCCGCGCTGGTGTCAGCCAGGCATGGGGTGGTGTCGGTTTCGGAAGAACGATCGTTCACGGGGTTGCTCGCGATCGAGAGACGCGACGAGCTCGACTCCTCGATAGCTGACGAGCTACCACCTAGTCTGCGAGTGCACCAGGTCGGCGACTCCATCGCGCTCGGGGGGTTCCTCGTTGACAACGTCCGAGAGACTTCCTCGACGACTGTCATCCCTTCGTGCCGACCTCTATCAGGGTCCTGCAGCCTACGATTCTAGGCAACGACGTTGCACAGCCTCTCCGAGATCTCTGGATGTCTCTTCCTGAACCCTCTCTAGCTAGCACTCAAACGGCTCCAGCGATCTTCATCTTCCTCGAACTCGATCCAGTCTTCTGGCTCTTCTCGGCAACTCGTCGACGATCTCGCGCGCTCTGTTCTCGAAGAAGAATGAAAGAGGCGGTGGACGAAGGTTCGAGGAAGATCGACGAGGCTCAGGACCAGTCGGGGACCCGTTCGGTCGATGGTGGAAGAGACATCTCTTCTCGCGCCGTTGCACAGCTGCCGTAGCTCTATCCCGTGCCGAGGATGAGCCGAATATCAGTCCGTTCTGTCGGAGAAACAACAACGATGGCTTCGCGGGCTGAATGGCGCCATCGATCGCGGCTTCCGAGTCGAACTCGATCACGGTCCGAGCCACAGGTCCTCGCTACCTGTCCCAGACCACGCAGTCGTATTCTCTCTCTCTCCTCTGCAACCTGCTATCCTCGGCTGTGTATCAGGTATCTATCGTTTTCGTCGACATGCGTCCAGTGCCTTCGTCTCTCGTTTCTTCACCGATGTACGCATCGATTAATATCCTGCAATCAGACAATCGTGATACATATATGATACCGGTATGATATATACGCGGAGCATACGCGCGATAACGCATGTCCGTTTAAGTTCCCTAGGACGTTCGATCGAGCAAAGCCGGTGTGGATGATATTTAACCGGAACCAGATGTACTTGACGGACAAAGTAAATACCAGGAAATAAACGATCGCGTGGATTTTACACGGCAGAGCGTCGATATTTAACCCGGAGGCTGCGATGCGATCGGCCGCCGCCCGGATAACGCGTGCCCTTCGTCGCGTTCATCAACCCCGAAGAATTCCCCGCGAGCCAATTTTTCTCCGTCTTCTCCGTACCTGGATCGCGGGTATCCGGGTGTTTTCGAGAAGAGGACCACCGTCGTTCGTCAGCTTTATTCGTAATTCGTTTCGATACGAAATTTATCTTGGCTCGCTTAGTTGCAGCGAACGCGTAAATCGCATGCATCGTTTAACACGGATTACGCGTCACGCCGAGCCGTATAATTTATGCGCGTTCGTGACAGTCACGAGTATAACCGATCACGATTCTTTCATTCAGCGGGAACGAGAAAAATGGAAAATTGCGATACTTCGAGCGGAATAATTCCTCTTCCTCTCTGCTTCGAAAATCATTATGGAAAACGCGAGACGATATTGCGCGAGAGGGAAAAACGAGAGGTTTCTATGCGCTCCTCGACGCGGAATGCGAAAAAGGTCACGCGTTCGGGGGTTGAAAGCTGCGAGGTGTTAAACGGGGGTGCTAAACGCGTTCCTAAATCGTCCAATCGCGTACGATCTCTCGTGAACCAACGCGGGAGGAGGTGAAGAAGGGACGAAGAAAGGGGTGAAGAAGGGGTGAGCGGAAACGCAAAGGGTGGTCGACGTAAGGCTCGCTCCGTGTCGCAATTACGATCGTTTCGGGAAACGACGTAGGACGTTGTTCTGAAAACGGGGTGCAGTAACGTTTCCGCGGATTTTCTAGCAACGACGTTCGCCACTAATGTAAACCACATAATTATCGCGAATAATTGGTAAAAAAGACGGGGGAAAAAGAAGAGAATATTCTGAATTAACCCTTTGACTGCCACGCCGAAATTACGTGTTTCGCTCAGGACGTCACGAGAGTGCACAGCTAGATGCAAGATTTGTTCTAATATTTTATTGATGGATGTTCTAATAAAAATTTTTGATTGTTCAATGGGGCACTTTTTATTTCAAAGTATCTTCTAATTAGCTTTTATACTCAAAATACACTAGTTGTCAATTTTCATTCAATTTTTACAATTATTGTATACAAGTAGCTCAAGCACTCCGGTCAGCTATGACCAACGTGGTGTCACAGGAGAAACCCCGGCAGTCAAAGTGTTAATTGACTTACACCACCTTCGAAATAAATAGTCTGTTGAGATCTTAAAGACACAAGTCGAGACATCTTACACTGAATCTCGATGTTAAAATCTTTTCTGATTACACACTAATGTATAATTGGTACGCGTCAGTCGGTCACCAGCCAAATTCCTTTGTTCAAACGACTCTGTGTCTATGGAATCGTTGTACAGCACACACCGACCGAGTTATCTATTATTAAAGTGTTGCCTCTTTATAATTAGCGTTCCTTTCTTTTCAACTCCGCTGCCATCCCAAATTCTATCATGGTTGTTGCAAGTCAGCTACGCCCATGCAACGACGACGACAGGCCTGTTAGAGGTTGCAGGTGTCGGTTTTGGGGGTCTAAAAGGGCCTGCTGTCCCTCGGAGCTCTTCGCTCTCAGATCAGGAACAGTATAGATACTTTATATATTGTGACACACAGTGGCATTAAGAAAGACTCTAGTATTTCATTTGTATATTGCATAAAGTGCATAAATTTCGCGTATATTAAACCTTTATAAATACAACTGCTGTATAACTGAATACGGTTACTTCCCTGCACGTTAATCATTTGGCTATTTCCTTCACGAAATTCCCTACAATAGTCAATATATTAAAATAGCAGCATAGGGCACTGAATACGCGTGAACGTGTTAAACCTCGTCTTTCATATTCGCATAAGTGTATATATTTCACCTACATTAAACTTTATATATCTATTACTATCCCTGCACGCTGAACGGTTTGATTTCATCCTAGAAATTCCAACGGAGAGGAAAGGGGAAAATTTCTTCTTTCACGAAGCAACGAGGAAGAAGAAGAAGAACAGCGTTCGGGCCCGCGAAATGAAAAGGCCGCGGGTGAGTCACGGAAAACGCGGATGCGTCGAGGCGGGAGAGACGGATGTATCCGAGAAGCCATAAATTCGGTTAAAATTGGAAAGGTGGTCGGATGCGATTCGAGGGCGCGATGGTGTGTGCGTCGGCTGGCAATATTCGCGAGAGAGAGCATCATCGTCGAGGAATGTTCGTTTGCGAAATTCGCAGAGCGGTGCTTTCCGTTACTCGGAGCCCTAACACGGGCCCTTCTCGCTGCGCAGCCACCCACTCCGCCACCCACACCGTCACCCACACCGCGGGTTACCCGACCCCTCTACTCTCCCTCGCAGTGGATCCCGCGATCTGCAACGATCCGCGGATCCCGCGGCCAGAGGGACAAAGATACACCTCGGTCTCGTTGCTACACCTAGCCACCTACCTACCTAGCTACCTACTAGAGAGGCACGAGGAGAACCTAGTTTACTTTTACTTTTGCAACGGTTTCTGGTCTGAAACTCAGCCGCCCGGCTGGTACGAGCGGGCATCGTTAGTTTAGAAGCGAGACGCAACGCTCGCTCCAAGTGGAATACTTAACGAGTTGGCTACCGAGCTAGCCACGTACTACTCCGTTCTAAGAATAGAGGAGCATACTTCAATGAACACGTCATCCATCGTCATTCATCGCGGCGAATTCAGGCCATCGGGCTTCGATCACGCTCGTTTCCCCTTTCGCCATTTCGGCGTCCCGCGCGCGGAAAACGCGCCGCGGATTCCGCGCTCCTCCGAGCCTCGCGACTGGAGCAGACGGGCTAATATTAGTTCCACTGGCCCGTGAAATCGTCGCTCTGTTTTCCCGACGTCGGTCCTCGGCTATATCGGAACCGGGCTTCTCTCTCGTCCTCGAGTCGAGTGCCGGAGCTCGTAAATTGATAATCGACCCGGGTTCGTCCATCTTCTACACAGCTATCCCGATGGTACGAGAGGAAAATTTCGATCGTCTCCCAGGATTCCGTGTCGCGATGGGCCCAGGGTTTCGCGAGTCACCGCTCGTTCGCCAGTGGCCGACCAACGCGGCGTTTTCTACTTTCCACCGGACCCGCCTCGAATGCCCATTCACCGCGAGCTGTTCTCACGATCTCGGATAATTGTCTACGGGCGATCGTGCAGAACGAACGGTAGCGGCGTCCTCTTTGCGTAAATTAGGCAGACGGGAAACGCGAACCAGACACGCATCCAACGAGATCCGCGTTCAACCCTCTCCCCGGTCAGCGGACAGGGCTTCTTTTCCCAAAGCGGATTTCCAATTTTCCCTCTGTTGAAAATAAGATACAACTTAACATGTTGAACGCCCAGAATAAACCGGTGGAGTTTCTCCCAGGGCCCAAATCCGAGACTCGGAGTGTAAACAGCGCGATTAGGAAGAACGACACAATGCAATGTGTCGTTAAAATGTAACCACAATCGTCAATCTATTAGAAGGATGTGCGTTCGGTGCTATGCAAAACAGAGGCAAATTCGCGAACGCCAGGATGCAGAAAAAAATGTGCATAAGACTACAACGTATTGTCCTGAGTGTCCACAGTTACCTCAATTATGTTTAAGATGTTTTAACGAATACCACCATAACTAATAAAATGTTATAATATTTTAAAAACAAATTTAAATATAAGTATATTTTTAATGTTTCTTTTTGTTTACTTTAGTTTGTTGTTACTTTCTGTTGTCTATACTAGTCATAATTGTGTTACAAATAAAATTACTATAAATTACTTCAAAAATCCTGTGTTAATTGCACGAAAAATAGTGTCACCCGTTTACGGGGCCCCCTGTGGAAACATAGCCGTCACCCATATTTGGCGTGGCCTTCAACGTCTTAACGTATCGAATGTACAAAAGTTAATCTATCAGGAGAAATAGATATATAGCGACCCATCATTCTCGTCCTCGCCACTAGATGAATTCCTTGTAATTGTTTTCCGTCGATAGAAAAACTTTTCAATTCCTACATATATAACTTCCCGACCTTCCAATAGTATCCCAGTGTCTAAGGCAGGGCCTATTAGGGTTGCCTTACCGATGAGTCCGCTAGCAGTCCCGGGACCAAACGCATCCCTTCCTTTTCCTATCGTCCCTGCTTCAAATTTCAATGAAATTTGAAAAACCGATCTTAATTAATATATCACATTTAAAATTACCCAATGATACGTGGGACGTCGAAATAAAATAAT